TCCATTACTTTGAGAAGGGTGACACAGGTAAGCCTTTTTATGGTATTCATGCTTCCAAAAAGTCTTTATTTATCCTATTATACAACTCTACATCATTCTTCTAGTCTTTACAAATAGGAGTCCTTTTCATTATTACTTGATGTGCTATGAAGGTAGTATCCTCTGTTCACAGAATGGGTTCCCAAAACTGTGGTGAGGACTAGGCTTTTGTCTGAGTGCTGTCTGGGAAGCCAACTTCACTACAGACAGAATTAGAATCTGCACACACAGCCAGCTCTGCTGCTCAGCGCCCAACTCCCACTCTGTGGATGGGACCTCTGCAGACTGAACATGGTCTTGGATTCTGTCATTAACACAGAAATGAAACAATTGCCAGACTAAGGGCAGAGACTCAAAGGGCTTCCCGAACTCATGAAATTCTCTTGGCATAGAGATTATTGCTAATTTTGGCTTGTGCTCGTTTATATCCAGGGGGACTAGAATGAAAAGAACATTTTATTGATAGCAATTATGGCAAGAAAGTCAGTGAATTTTCCATGATTTTGGTGTTCTTCCTTTCTTAGAGACACTGGGATTATTAAGAAAAAGTGAGAGATGACGGTGATCACCCTGAACATAGATTTTTATCTCTTCTATAATATGGCTAAAGAGCAGAAAGTAAAATTAAATTATAAAAAGAAAATACCTCCTAATAGTTAGACAGGAAATTTCCATTTCATAAGCACTATTCTTAAAACAGCACTTTCCAAAGCGTTAAAGCAGAAGCAAACCAGGAATATGCTTTTGGATTGCTGGACACCATCCGAAATTTATTAAAAGCCAAATCCTGAGCCGGGCGTTGGTGGCGCACGCCTTTAATCCCAGCACTCGGGAGGCAGAGGCAGGCGGATCTCTGTGAGTTCGAGGCCAGCCTGGGCTACCAAGTGAGTTCCAGGAAAAGGCGCAAAGCTACACAGAGAAACCCTGTCTCGAAAAACCAAAAAAAAAAAAAAAAAAAAAAAAAAGCCAAATCCTGAAAACAAATAGACTAAAACTCCCTCTAAACAAGCCATGAATGTATCAAAGTGTTTCTTTCCAAGCATAGGTTAAAATGAAATAATAAATGTTAGTCACATGAATAAAGGAAACTCTGGGTTTTCTCTACAGCCTCATGTGGGCTTCATTTAGTGTAGTGTGAGGGGTCTGAGATGTTTATATTCATGGTTAGGAAGGAAAAATCCCAAATCACAAACTTATCTAACCCGATCAGTCAAATTGGTAAGCCTAGGGAAATGTAACTAGTGGGAGGAATGCTGGCCAGCTACTCTGGGCAGGAGGTACAGGTTTTCACATGGGGTGCAATGATGTTCTCTTCAGGGAACTCAGACTGGGCAGAAAGACCTAGACACTGACCCCCTCTCCCAATCCTGGTCCCTAAGCAGATATTCAAAGGGCTAGTGTGGAAGAATGGCAACTCACTGCCAGGAAGTGGGAGGGAGAAGACAAGAAAAGAACAGAGAATGGGAGAAAAGATGAGATTTTCCCAAGAGTACTGTATAGCCAATGAAGCTTATTCCCCAAGAGCACTTGAGCTTCTAACTAAAATTAATTTGTCCATAAGCATTGAATTGTTACTTGTGTTATTGCTCATTGGTGTCAGATAACAGAGAGTAACTGGGGAAGGTACAAATTTTTCTTGAATGATTCATGTCACTATAAAAATTAATGTCATCTCAAAAATGATGACTAGATTTATCCATCCAATGTGAAGTTCCCACAAAGGATCAAAATTAACACACAGCTCCTCCTCTTCTTTTCCATTCTGAGATGCTGTTTTATTCTCTTATAACTTCAAATCATAGCAAATAGTAAAAAAGTTGGAAAACCTTTTGTTGTTGTTGTTTTGAGACAAGGGCATATGTAGTCCAGATTTAAACTTACTATATAGATAATGGTCTGGGATTTATGATCCTCCTGCCTCCAAAGTGCTGAGATTACAGGTATGCACCAGCATTCTAGGCAAAAACTTAAGTAATTTTTAAAAATTATTTTCTAAAACTGTATACTACTTTTATTAATTTAAAAAGTGAAATGCAAATTTAAAAATTAGGGCTAGCTAGATATCAGAGTGGGTAAAGGCCCTTGCCACACAAATCTGATAACGTGAGTTCTATACCCAGAACTTATATAAAGGTAAAAGAATAGATTCTATAAGTTGTCCTCTGTCACACATTGCAGCACGTGTCCCCTGAAATACATTATGTGTGTGCTTACACAAACAAGGTTTTTTCTAACCTAAAGTAAAATAAAAAATTCTACTCTTACTAATAAATGTTCAACACCCAAAGTGACTAATTAATTGTATAATTACTAGGTCTGTATCTATGCATATATACATTTGGGTGTGTGCATGGGTGGGTATATGTGTACATAATTTTTAAAGGATCATGCATGACAGAGGATGACATTTCTTTTCTTCTCCCAAGAATGTACAGAAAAGACAGGATTGGGGTTATGTATAATTACAGAGGCACCAGCTGTTCCCTCTACCCTTCACTTTCCCAAATGAAAAAGCAGAATGGAATGCAAATGATGAGGAGTAATTATAATAATAGGTAACTGTAAGTGTGTGCTGGTCTTTTCCCCTTTTGCCTTCTTTTTTGAATGGCAAAGAAGTCACAGAGAAATCCTGACACTTTCTAAGTGGTAAACAACTTACCTAAGGTACATGGAGAGGCAAAGGCAGCACTGTCTGAGAAAGCCCTAACGTGAGGATCTGGGGACTTACTAAATAAAGGGAGATGATGCTCTATAGGTGATTTCAAGTTAGCTGGCTCCTGATTGTATCATTAGGCCACCCTGCACACTCAAAGTCAGTTCGAATACTTCAGTGGGTGAATCATGAAAATTGAGTCTTGTCTTCTGCCTTATCCTCACATAACCTCTCCATGCCTCAGATTATCGACAGTTTCTCTTCATATGTTTGCCTCCTTATTTCTATGGTCATTCATGAACACAGACAATGTAGCCCTCATGAGAAACTGTCCTGTATGGGCACACTGACGTTATTGAGGGCCAGGATTTACATTTTATTGGCTTCTACACAGAACTTAAACAAAGGGCCTGGTTTATGGTATGATTCCCTATTAAGTGAAAGAATAAATCAACAAAATATCAATTGCTGTGTGATGATCGTGACCAGGTGAAAACATATTTTCTGATTAGGAGCAGAGACTTAACTTAAAGGGCCTCATGCTTTGGAAACTATTTTAGGGTTGGATGGTGGCTCCATTGTCTATGCCCTAATTCTAGAATGTGGGTTACCTTATTTAGAAAAGGGGTCATTATAGATATAACTAAGTTATAGGTTTTGAAGACAGCACCCTGAATTATCAAAATGGGCCCCAAATTCAATCCCAAGTGCCCTTAGAGAAGACACAGAGGAGACAGCCACACCAATGGAAAGGTAGTATAAAGATGGAGCAAACGGCTATGTTCACAAGACAATGAGACTGGCAACCAAAGAAGTTGGAACAAGCAAAAAAAGTAATTCTCCTCTAGAGTTGACAAAGCCTAGTCCAGCTGGCAACTTATTGCAGACTTTCAGCTTCCAGAACTGGGAAGGAACGGGTCTATCTGGTTTTCTAGCCATTTGTGGTAACTTGTTACAGTAGCCCAGGAAAGGGAGCTCGAATCTGAGGGCAGTCCCAACCCCAGGGCCCATTTCACATGGTTAGCACTTGTCAGCTGCCTCACTGTTTCTGAGGCTTCCTGTTATAATGAAAAATGTCTCCTTAAGGATATACTACTAATCTTATTTGTTAATGAATTATACTCTAGCTCACTCCAAAAAATATCAAACCATTTATAACCCAATCCCCACAATTCCCATGCATCTGCTTGAGAAAAGCTGCCTCTTATTACTTTGTTACACCTAAATTGACTAACAGCAGAGACCACATATCTGACGGACTCTCCTTCTCCATAGGACCTTCCTGCCCGAAAACATAGCTTGGTGACATGTCTTTATGCAGGTAGAAAGGTTGAGTGAGAGTCAACCAGCCTAAGGAAAAGGGGAAAAAATGCAGGGATAGCAAAGCCTGTCTCCACACTGAAACACAAAAAGACGGTATCATGGGGCAAATGAGGCTTGAAACAGACTAAGTCAAGCAGCAGGGACGAGGGCAGCAGTGGATGGTCCGTACCTCTAGACACATTCTTTCTCGGGAGATTGCTATAAGAATAAATAAAAGAATAAACTGAGAAAGACAGCATCATGCAGGAAAGAGCATCCTTCTGAAGGAGGAAGAAAGAAGTTGAGAATGACATCTGATATAACCAATCCTGAAAGCAGTGGCCCAAGTCTTCAGGCAGGCATGTGGTGATACATTCCTTGATGGGTTTGATGATTGGAGAGGGGGCTCTTTGGGAGAATTATGAAGCTCATTAGGATAGCTTGAGGGAAACAGTCACAGAAACAAAAAATACCAAATGAATTAATAAATAGGAATAACTCTAAATTCCTAGGGGGGAAAACCTACTCTATTTATAGCAATAAAGAAAATATAAGAAAATGGGATTCATGGTAGAAAGTTGGAAATCACCAGTGAAAACACGTAGCTATAAAAATAAACATAAATCAACACTGTAATATAACTATGGAAGCTAGAAAGACAGGCAGCTTCTCTGTGTATAGATAGGAAAATGGGAGGTTTAGGAGTACTCGATTCCCATCACAGATGTCAACAGGTTGTGTTAAAATTTGACAAAGCAAGAAGTTATACTCTAACTAAATAAATGAAGTATTTTCTGGGGTAGATGATTTGAGGATGGAGAACAGCATAGATAGGGATCTGCTACAGTGTTTTATCTGACATATTAATACATATATATATATGAGAATGATAACAATAATTATGAAAAAACCACATTTGCAAAGAATTAAAAGGCTGGCTACAGTAAAGAGATTTCATTTTCTTTAAATTTTATCTTCAATAATGTGCCATTGACTTTTTCGTCAGACAGGATTAACACATGAAACACAGGATCACCCTGGCTCCAAAAGACGATGAGAGCAGAGGGAAGAAACCAGATGTGGACACTAATTAAGAGGCTATTATGTCGTCCTGGCAACAAGAGGTAGAGTCAGCCTGAATCAAGAAATGACAAGGAGAAATGTCCAAGAAATACAGTGAGATGGGACAGGCAATCAGACCTTTGGGACAGACTCAGCTTCTGATGTGGGTAAGCATTGTCATTAACCCCAGTTTGGAGATCTGTAAACTGAGGCTCTGAAGAGATACAAACAAGTAGCAAGTAAGTGGCTGAAGCCCAGGCCAGCTCTGTGCTGTTTTCTGCACAGACATCATTTGGCTAACTAACACTACTGCCACCCTGCACCACACTGGTCAAATAAAACTTGAAAGTAACTCACAAAAATATTAATTATTTTAAACATCAAAGACATTTTTATATAGAGAGCAAACCGAATTTCCAATTAAACCTCTTGCCTATGAATGTTTTCTCCTCACCACTGAGTGGGCCCCTGGGAGCTCTGGTTTCTGACTTCATTGGAAGCCTGGACACAGCTGACGGAGCAATCATGGTTCTCAGAAACATGGAACTAAGGCAGGCTTGTGGTCAACAGTGTGTCCCTGCAATAGTCACTTCTCTAACATTCTAACATGCAAACCCGGACAGAGGGCCTGCAGTAGGACCTGAAGAGATCCGGAATGATTCCCAAAGAGAAGCAGCTGTGAGACATGCTGCACAGGGTACTCCGGCCCTGGAGTTCTGGGAGTTGTTCCCTGTAACTGCGGAACAGATTGCAAATGAATACAACTAGTCATTTAATCAAACAGCATGACCCTGGTGGCTTTCTTCCCTCCCACAGTCCTAGACCTAGTCCTACCTCAGGCCTGCTGCCACTGAGAGGCCTTCCTGCTCTCTCAACACCTACCAAACCAGTCTTCATGGCTTTGCTTAGTATGTGGAGCCTTAAGTATGAGTGTAGGCTCTGTACTGAAGCATGCAACCCAGCCTTCCCAGGGCTATGTCAAACAAGATGCAGACACCCACCAAATACCTTCACTTATGGACCCACTTCCTAAAAGTAACACTTTAACCACTATTTCACACCTGCAAGCAGACTTAGTATCTAACAGATTAAAAAAGAATTTAATTGCAGGTAAGTGATAATGTGCCTTAGATTATAAAAGTAACTTTTAATAAGACCTCTTTTCTGTGATTTTAAAACTTAACATGAGCTTTCCTCATAAGACATCCCCCAGAAGAGACCCAAATTACATCATCTCCTGCAATAAATCAATCATTCAGCCACCTATCCATCCATTCTTTCATTTATATCTGTTCATTTATTCATTCATTAATACTCACTGTGTTTGGTGCTATGCACCTTGCTAGGCTTAGGGAGGACATGAATTAGCTGTCATGGTCCCTGTTTTCCATGACACAGTTTCATTTTAGAAATAAAGAGTTTAATGAAAAAAAGGAAATTATTTATCATATAAATAATCTCTCTATATAATCTTGTCTCACAAATCAATTTTAAAAAGCACCTGACTGCATCAGCATACGAAGGAGGGAACATTTTAGTCAATCTGGTAACTGACAAAAACAAGTAAATAAGAAGACAGTTGTTGAGGGAGCCAAGGTGGTGAATTAGAAACACCAAGCACTTTGTAGCTTCTCAGCCTTTCAGAACTGGGAGGTGAAAAACAGGTTCTGAGTGAGGTGGAAGATGGTGTGTGTGTGTGTGTGTGTGTGTGTGTGTGTGTGTGTGTGTGTGTGTGTGTGTGTGTGTGTGTGTGTGTTGGGGCAGGGCAAGGGATACAACAGGACTTCAGTTTAATACTGAACAGAGACTTAGACAAGCTATCAGAACACAGGCTGAGAAAACAGTGTGTCAGCAGTGGGTCCATGGCAGCTTGGTAGTGTACCAGAAGGGAGAGGGAGAAAAAAGAAAGGAAAGGAGAAAGGGGACAAATGTTATAGAGAAACATGAGGAACAGAAAGGCAGTGGGACTACAGCTGACCTGGAGCTGCATGGTGTACTGGTGTTGGAGAAGTGCTTTTCTCAACATAACAGCATGGCACCATCTTGGAAGGCACTCTGTGAAGACAGTACCTCAACTTGTTGTTCTGGGGACCTTAATTAAGTCACTATATTTCCCTTTAGTTTGGAATCATAGCAGTACTCTCAGCTATTTGGCCGGCACCTGCCTTGTGGCCTCATGTGACCCTACCCAAAAGTCAGCAAAACAAGTTCATTGAACAAATACGTGCCGTGGGATTCAGGTCTGAGTCACAAATGGAGTGAAACCCCCTTTGCTTTTGGATGACAGCTATCTCCAACAGCCAGCTAAAGAGCGTGCAGAGACTGAGCAGGGGTGTAGTCATGGAGTGGTGGGCCTTAGAAACCACAGTATGGAAGGTGGAAAGCACAGGACCAACCCTGACCATTCCCCCTTGAACATTTTGCCACCCTGCCCTCTGAGAAGACTTCAAAGGAATGCCTGAGATCAAAGTGAACAATACACTTTAGTTCTACCTGGCCTTTAGAGGTACATCAAACTAATATGCCTGAAAAAATACTCCATCCCATAAAATTTTGGTTCCTTGCTACCCTTCACTACCAAGTGAGTAAATAAAGCTATTCCAACTAACTCTGATCCCAAAACACTCTCACTGACCAGATAGTGAGGAACACAGAAAAAAAGAAAGGGGCACATATGCCCTGGCCTTTGCCTTCTTCAAGAGGTGCAGTAAACGAGAAGACAAGAAGAAACTCACATTGGCAGAGGTCCTGATACAGATTCTTGCTTACAGAACCACATCAGTCGAGACAATGTTTTTAGTTGTATACTTATATACTTCTTTTTGCATTAAGATCAATCCGTTTTTCCTTTTTCACTCTTTCTCTCCTTTCATCTGTCCCTCCCTCCCCTCCTCCCCTTTCTGTGTATAAGTATATATACATACACTCATTTGCATACCAATTTTCTTTTTAGTATTCTCCTTTGGTTTTTGTTAACTCTGTTTATCTCTTCTTTCAATACTCAAACTCTTTGATGTCTTTTCAAGTTTGTCTTGTAATTACAATCTTCACTTTCCACCTTTCTCACACTTTTTCTTCTGCATTTTTTTAATATTCTAACTTTTCTTTGGCTTTTAATCTTCCCTATTTTTCTTATTTTGTCCTTTTAATTATTATCTAAACATTCTTTATTATTATTATTATTATTATTATTATTATTATTACCTCTGCCTCTACCAATCCTACCGTAAGTTATAGATTTCATAGCTGATGCTTGGTTCCCACTTGATTCTTGTATGTGGTTCACTGTTATTTGTTGCTGTCATTCTTATTTCTTTGATCCTTTTAGGCAGTACTGGGATCAAGCATGACACTTTTCCAGTACTGTGTGTCAATGCTCTACTTCTGAACTACCCTCCTAGCCTGGATACACGTCAGCACAATTTATGCTACCCACAAAACACCCTAGCTTGAATATTAGTGAATATTTAATTCAAAATATAAGAGATTAAAAACACAAACTACCGACAAGGCTTCAAGATGTCATGGCTAGGTTGGATCTGAACACCCTATCCTGGCTATGCATCCCTGTGTTAACAGCAGAGAGAAATAACAAAAACACTACATACACAACACCTATGAGAGATCACAGCATAGACTGTTTCCATATTCCTTCAGACCACGTGCTGGTGCCAAGATTAGAGGAGTAATTACAAAGGATATACCTCATGGATTTCACTGTACAAAACACATCTGCCTGATTTATTAGCTACATGCAACTCTCGTAAGACCTACAAGGAAACAGGACCCTCAGGTTCCAACACAGTACAAACGATGTCAAAATACTAATGCCCCCAGAGAGATAAGAAGAAGCTGCACTAAAGCTACATAAAACCCAACTGGAAAGCTATTCAACATAATTAGTTATCCCAGGACATATCATCAAAAAAAGGATAGTCCCCACAAAGACTCATGTAAAACTGAAAAAAAAAAACTCATTAGAACTGATCTAAAATCTCAACATTAAAAATAAAAGAAATATGAGAAAACAACTGATTTGACTCCTCCAGAAGCTCACAATGCTCTACCAAATGACTTCAAAGATTCAACTGCAACCCATGGAATACTGGATGCAGCAATTAAAGGAATGCCTTTTTAAAAGGTCATTGGATGTCAGGAAAATAAAAGTAACTAAATGCTTTAAAGACAGCACCAGAAACTTGTATAATTGATAAATTCATCAGACTGTGGATACAAAATTGATAAACAAAAGTCAGTAGCTTTTTCATATACCAAAACCAGCAAACCAGCTAAAGGGGCAGGGGGAGGGGGGGACGGACCACAGACAGTCCTACTTTAAGAGCCTGAAAAATAAATACGTAAAAACAAAATCCAAGAGTAACCCTATGCAAGCAAGTGAAAGATCTCTATAAGGGAAACTTTAAAAAGGGGGAGAAATAACTTGAAAAAGACTCTTGAAAAAATGAAAAAGATCTCCATGTTCATTGTGAAATGACTGTGTTACCTAAGTGATGAAAAGACTCAATGAGCTCCCTGTCAAAATCCCAAGGCATTCTCACAGCAACAGAAAGAGCCGGTTGATGCTTAATATTGAATCACAAAAGACCCCAAAGTCAGTCAATCCTGAACAAAAGGTGTAAAACTAATTTAAATAAATACTGCAGAGCTACAGTAACAAAACAGTGTGGTACTTTCTGACTCACAAAATGATACACAGACCAACTGCACTGAAAAAAGGACACAGAAAAACGTGCACACATCTACAGCCATAATCATTCACTGGAGAAAAAGAGCATCTTTAACCGATGCACTCAGAAAACTGGATATCCACATGACACACACACAAAGAGAAAGAGAGAGAGAGAGAGAGAGAGAGAGAGAGAGAGAGAGAGAGAGAGAGAAGAAGAAGAAGAAGAAGAAGAAGAAGAAGAAGAAGAAGAAGAAGAAGAAGAAGAAGAAGAAGAAAATAAACTATCCTTTACCCTGAAAAAAAATCAATTAAAAATTGATTCACATTTAACCTAATTCCTGAATCCCTGACATAACTAGAAGAAAACGTTGGAGAACACTTCAAAAATACCGATGCAGACAGTAAGTTTCTGAGCAGGACCCCACAAGCTCAGGAAATAACAGTGAGAACTGGCAAGTAGAACTCAATTAAATTGAAGAGTTTCTACACAGTAAAGAAGATAATTAACCTAGTAAAGAGACAGCATACATAATGGGGGAAATACGTTTGCCAGAAACTCATTCAAAAGAGAATTAATATCTAGAGTATATAATCAACTAAAAAAGTCAAACACTAAAAGAACAAA